AACCCTTCTGACTGCAATTAAAAGCTTTCTAGAAACTTCTAAATACCATTAAGACCTTTTCCTAAGCCCTACCTGGGATGGAAATGTGGTGCAACGTAGGCGGTTGTTGTAAAGCGGGGGACGGTCAAAGCAACAGACGGGGCTTTCGTGTTCGACTCTAGCAGCAGGTAGAGACAAAGTCCTGATTTCAACTGTGTCTCTACCTGCTGCTAGAGAGCAAATCTCAAGCCCAGTCTGTTGTTTTGACCCCCGGTTTGCAACAACCACCCAGACTATACCGCACTTCTACCATGGGGCAGATGTAGTGTAAGCCATGGTTCGCGTTCTTCACGAACTCTACAGACACTCTATGGCGTCGGCGAAAACATTCCGAAAATAACATAAGTTAAAGGTCTGCTGTTTCTGTCTGTAACAACAGCGGCAGCGGTAGCGGCTGCTGCAGCTACGGCTACCACTGCAGTACTGGAGCTACCAAATCTGAAGAATCCTGCTGCTCACTTTGATTGCCAAGATGGACAAATTAATTGGGCCCAGTCTGGCTGATCGCCTTTCGGAAGACTAAACGCCTGCAGCCCGACGCCCAAACCATCCGATGGGGGCGCACAGGTCCATTTTTTATCGAACAGTGGTTCCGTGCCTGGCGTTTTTGGGACATTTTGGGACATGTCTGCTCGTTTATCAGCAGTCTCTACCCATAGCCAGACTCGCCCCTCCCTACAACCGTGACCTCCCGCTATTCCAATTGCCGGACCCCGCTTCTTGCTGCTGCTGATCCTTCCCTCCTCCACCACCTCCTCCCCGCGGTGGCAGCGCTGGTGGTGGCGCTGCACCGTGAGGTTTCACGTGGCTTGTAGCAGCAGAAGGACATGTAAGGCTTGCAGGCCCGGTCCTGCCAAGGGCACCGGGCCACCACTTGGTGCCTTGGGGGCTGTGGCAAATGGCTTCACAGAAGAGGGTCCTACAACCACTGCCGAACAAATCTCAGGAAGTTCATCCCTATGGTTTCGCGGACCGTCCAGGCCGTCGCTCTGTTGGGGACCTGTGTGCTCAGCCTTGCCGAGGGTCTTGTGAGAGATGGACTGTGGATCTCGATCTCGTCCGTTTCCTGTGTGAGAGGCAGACGCAAGTGGCCCAGAGCGAAGGATTCACGGGCTCCAGCTTCTTGAGTGGCAGATTCTGCAGGGCTATGGTTGCTTTTCGGACCTCGGCAGTTGAAACGCGAGTCCCACGATGCGCACGACGGCGCAATAGAGCACGAATCCCGAAGCCTGAGGTCCGCCCGGACAACAAATCGTGCACCCCAGCTTCAAGTTCGACCTGCCGGCACCGTCAATACTTCAGCTTTCACCTTCTCGTCTAAGCATCCTTCGAGCACCTGAACCCTTAGATTCTGCATTGGAAGCTGAGTTCTCCGCATGCTCAGAGAGTCGTACAACCGCGATTTGCTTTGGAAGAGATATGTCACTAACAGAGTTCTCCTTCGAATGGCAACTACAACGAACTACAAGGTTTAGCATAGCAGCCCGGGCAGCCACATGCTATGTTCATAGCAAGCAAGCATAGGAAACAAAGAAAGTCGAAAACATATGACGCTCTTAATAAAACCCCCTAGTCGTTGTCGGCAATGGAGCTGTTGGCATCGCCTGATAATTAGTTTAGGAAGGTAGCACGCCCATGATACTCACATGTGTGCAAATCGTTGCCACCTTGTTATTCTGCTGAGGGCATGGTTGTTCTCATCCTAGCGATTTCGCTGATGGTGTGGACGATGATGACGATGATTAGGATGAGGAGGATGATGATGCTGCTGCTGGTGCCGCTGGTGGTGCTGGGAGATGGGTGGCGGGTGGGGGTGCGGTGGTGGTGTTGAAGATTATGGCGACGATGTCTCTTGCGATTTGTGCATGCGCCGGAGTTCTCAAAGGGCCTCGAAGTAGGTGGCGGTTGTCTCCAGGCCGCGCACGTTGGAGCCGTGGCCCAGCTCGGTCTGGGCCTGGGCTCCAGGTTTGCACCACGCATGGGCCAACATGCCCAAGCAGTGAAACAGTACTGTAAACAATAGTAACCATCAGTCTTACAGTGAATCACAGGTATTGGTGGTTTAGTGATTCACTTCACAAACAATGACACCAGCAAGCGTCGAAAAGCTCTGGGACAGGCCCTGGTAAAAAGAGGCTAGAGGCTTCCGGGGCCCCCGGCATAGCAACCCACGACCTCCCAGGCCTGCGCCCGCGGCAGCCAGTGCGCCTGCTGCTCGTCACTGAAAGTTGCCCTGATGTTGGGAATGAACATCAAGGTCCTCAGGTCGAACCGGCCATGGGCAGCTTGGAAAACTGGAGGCGATAAACTGGGATCTCTATTAGACATCCGAGTATATCCGATTTATCAGTCGTCCGCTGCCTAAATAACCAGACTCACACCTTTTGATGCAGGTCCTCAAACCAAACGTCAGGCGCGGAAGACCTTTCAAAAACCCTCTGAACCCAAACCCATGCAAGGCAAGGCACTCGCACAGTAACTTTCAGAGTTCCCAAGGATTCGAAGGCACCGGCAAAGTACCACCAAAGCAAGGCGTTTTCAAACCTTTCCAAAAGGTCTCCAGCCCGGGCACTGGAGGTCAGTGCCCAGGTCGTCGTGCACGGCACGCCGCAGCTCCACGGGGTCCAGGCCCTGCGAGTGTAGCTCCAGGAGCCGACCTCGAGCTCAGACACCATAAAACCATAACAGCGGTAGTAACCATACCCATACCGTTCCTTAGGGCTCCTTAACATTATTAGACCATACAAATGCCATACTGTACACCAAAATTCTTGAATGATGGGCTGCGGTGTTCCGGGTCAGGAAACAGCCACTGGTGGTAGGAAGCGATCATCATCAGCACTACCATGGTCATTATGATCCTCGTTGTATATCATCGTCGTTCTAATTGCAACCTGTACCAACACCACAAGCACCGACATCACTATCCGTGGGCATTGCCACCTACCTGGGATGACCCCAGGGTCCTAAAGGTCACTGAGGTGTCAGGGTACAGGTAGTTCAGGCTACAGGGACCGGGACCAGCATGGCCCTAAATGGACCAGTAGTTCCAGCTCGCACAGGCTCTTGTCACTGGATCCGGCCAAGTTTCGCTGCTTTTGCATGGCCCGGCGATATCTCCCAGGTCGGCCCAGGGAGTACCTCGGACTTTCTGTTCAAAGTTCTGACCACGAGCAGTAAAGGTTGTAATCATCTCTGTCAACACATCAACACCCGTCACCCCTGCGTTGCTGTGATGTTGGTTTGCCGCATGCCCTGCAGCGATGATTGTTCGAATCAGTTGCTGCCCAGCATTCGCGAGACACTTCCTTTGAGGATTGAGCCCAGCGCTGAGACGCGAAGGCCTCGCACCCCAAGATCCTTGTTCGCGTCTTTCGCTGGCCCGGGGAGACAAGTGTCCTAGACTGCTACCCCGCCGCAGAGTTGAGAGTCAGCGGGCCTGGCGGCCTTCGGAAGAGACTTCCCGGCCCAGATTAAAGGTTTGCTAGGCGAGCGCGGATGGCGTCTCGCTACGAGATGAGTCATTCTCAAAATCAGTCGTCCAGCTTTGGGGGGGGTCCTGCAGTTGCGTTGGGCAGTCTTGCATCATTTTCAAGGCACAGTGGGATTCCGACCGCCTACGAGTACACCCCCTTCCCCATCAGTATTAAGGCATCTCTTTTCCGAAACTCTGAAAGAGTTATAGAAGCCGCATACATGGCAAGATGCACATCCGAATTGTCGAAGACCGGGTCCTCAGCTGAGCTAGTGTGTCGTCTGCACTCTGCATACTAAGAACGCAAGCGCATGAGCAACCGTGGCACGGCACAAACCGGAAGTCTAGTTGGTGCACCGGGGGAGATCAGAGCAACAAGACTTCCTTTTCTGCCTTTGCCTTGCGACCTGGGAGAGCCGTCACTTCCGCATGCTCATCTCAGGGCAGTGCTGCCTCGACAAGGGCTTCCACTTTCTCCCGCCGCAAAGTGTTCTCCTTCCACTGATTTGGCAGATGTTGGCAGGTTAGTGCAAAAACCTGATGGAGAGCGCTGCTGAGAAAGTCACTGTCGGTACAACAGAAATCCAATGCATGTTTCCAGTACTGAATGCTCGCACCTTGCCGCCCTCCAGCACGTAGGTGAGCTCACGGGAGTCCTCAGTGTAGCTTAGCACATTAGCTAGATACTCTAGGACTCTAGGATTTGTGAGGTTCTTCTTCGGCCTTAGTTTCACGAAACTCTGCAAACGATTGGGGCCGGCACGAAGGAAGCACGCGCCCGCTCTTTGTCTAAGGCCGACATCGTGTGAAACCGATCGAACACACAAACGGGCCACTTACGCCGGAATGGGGTAGAAGATAGCATGCCTTACCTGATTCTGTCTGTGAGCATTGAAGCATGGCAGGTGCTGCGCGATACAGGTTCTGGCAGATAAAGCTTTATGCGCACACTTCGGTCTGGGAGCATATTCGCCTCCGGAAGCTGTGTAAGCCAAAGCTGCATGACAACAGACACCTTGTCCAGGCATCCGATGCCGCTAGTTGTAAGGGGATGCTTGAGCTTGAGACCACAAAGTGAAAGATGTTGACAAAGGTTTGCTTCAATCCAAGCCCTGTATGAGCTGATTGGCACGCGGTGGCTGCAAGCGTGAAACCTTCGGTGGAGGCAGCCATCTGCGTTAAACGCATCATCACCATCATCATCATCATCATCAACATTAACATCATGAATGTAGAGGTTCCGACAGATGTCATCTAAGTGAGCTCCGGGCTCAGCATGGCATGGGAGCGGCAAGGTGAACACGTGCAGTGCTGCCATGGTGCCCAGGTTGGAGGAGTTCAGGCCAATGAATGCAGTGGAATTGAAAAATAGAACAGGGCTTTGGACGTAGCACAGCATAGCTTTATTGGGGAATTTAGGCTTCTATATTACATGAGACTACCACAGCCCTAAACCGGAACTTATCCTCGACCTCGACCCAGGGGGTGCTTTGGCATTTGGAGGTGAAGGACTTGCTATCACTACACCTTCAAATTGTTACGCCCTCAGAACTTCGGAGGGAGGGGGGGGGTTCTTTAGATCTCAGTGTAGAGGTTCCTCTAAATATGTCCTCCTTCAAAGGGCAGGCGAGACGATTGCCTTTCTGTGAGGGCTTGGAGGTTTTGGGCTGTCGGGGTTCCGAGTCGTTTGGTTTTGGGTTTGTCTTGATGATCGGCACAACGCGGTTCATAGGGTTCGGTAAAGGAGTTCCGGGTCAGATTCTATTCTGGGGTCCTTGCTGTACTGAGCTCCCATGAGACAGGTGCTATGAAAGCTGAATAGCTCGCACGAGAAGCAGGCCTCGCATGTAACGGTGGTATGCAGGTAGGTGGTCTGCGAAGAAATGAACCTGAGGTGGCGGATCAGGCTCTAGGGATTAGGATATGCATGCCCTATATGCCCATCACATATGTAGGTACTGCAATGGTACAGGCATTTTGGATTGTGAGCATCGTCTGTAATCTGCCCTGGATTTGGCAACACACTGCAACACGCATGTTCCAATCCTACCAGTAAGACCTGCAGTTCCGAAAAGTTTTGCACCGAGACGACAAGCAAAACTCTGTGCTTGATCTCCGTAGTCAGCACCAAGAGCCCTGCACCTACATTGCTGTTGCTGCAGAGGATTTCGAAAATCTGGCAGGCACGAATAATTAGAAAAAGGCGTTGGGTTTGGGGAATCTTGTAATCTGACAAGCTCCTTCGGGAAAGGAAATCATTCCGGGGCAGAGGGGCCTCATCAGGCAGGACCGTCTTCGCCAGATACTTCTTGTCCCAGCCTGGTTCGAACTTTGGAAAGATGTGTCTGACTGCTCGGTGCCAGTACGGGGTACCGGTCCCGAGATGCAGCCTGCATGATCCTGAAGCCTTAGATGAACGACAGACCAGACCAGTTCCCCAGCTCTCGTCAGAAACACTGCAGCCGCAGCAGCACCGGCAGAAGTGGCAGCATCACCAACACTAGTGGACATGAAGCATCTTGGAAATGGCCGCAATCAGCAGTGAATGGCATCAAGACTACCGGCACCATTGCTGCAACTGCCAGTGTCACAATCGCTTATGATCGCCATCATCGCATACCTATCACCATGGCATACTCACACCGTCTTCAACAACAGACATGAACACCAAGAGCTGAGCATTGATCATCAAATCATCACCAGGATCATCACTAGCATCATAGCCGGCATCGGCCTCATGACCTGGCTGCTGACGGTGCTCTTCGTGCGACTTGCTAAAGCCACTGCCACCACGAGCGGTGGCAGGGTCAGGGTGCAAGAGAATCGCAGTCGCTGTCGTCGTCGCCATATGGCTGGTGGTAGCCCCCAATCATCGTAGTTCTTGTTTCCGGGGTGGAAGCATAAGGAGCAGCGGTAGCGTCCAATGCGGATGCAGTTTCCCGACGACGTCACCGCAGCTGAACCCTTAACGGCCTTAACGCTCAACGATGAGCTCGTAGCTTAGAAAAGCCCCAAAACCCTAAAGATTCCCAAAGCAGCAAGGCGTCGTAGTAGTAGTAGTAGTAGTAGTAGTAGTAGTGGTAGTAGTAGTAGTAGTAATAATAATAATAGGCGCCCCCCCCCCTACCAACCACCTCTGCTGCCAACCCTCTTAAGAGCACGTTCGTTTTACTCGGTATTTACGGTACTTTTGTCCTGTCATACCACTTCTTCTTGCC